TCCAAAAATAAGCCCCCTCGCTACTGTCCGGGCCTCCGGACGTTATATCGTAACCCTTTGACTCTCGATTCTATTGCGTTTCTTTAATTAGAGCAACCCTACCAAAGATCAAAGTGTGCAATATTACTTGATTACTCATGTGTTCCTAACGTAGCTTCAATATCTCGTCATTCTTTCGAATTGTTATACACAACGTTTATCGTTTAGAACTAATTTTTTGTTATTTTAACTTTATTATGGTAGTAAGTGAACTTTTATGAAAACATATAATTGACGTAAAGAATGTGCATAATTTATCTAAATAGAATATCTTACGACAAAGCATTTTCTTTCAAATTGCTATTTAAGTACATGAGTTATCGCACACTGCAGTATAATCGTTCAGAGGAATAGCTCTACCATTAGCATCCAGTAAAAAATAATGACATGAGATAACTTATCACTGTATTTGTATTTCTTAGTCATGCACGTAAGAGCTGATATTGGTTGTGGGATATTGTCTCTTTATGTTAATAATGCTCTTAGGCCTTTGGAAAGTATCGATATATTATCTATAATTGAGCTAATAATTTTTGAGACAAATGCATTACGTACGGAATTACATTACACTCAGTATGACGTAAAAGACTTTATCGGTCGGCAAATTTTCCGCGTCCTTACGATAATAGGTCAACCATTTGTAAAATTCGCTGTCGGCTAGATCTCGTACCGAGTTTCCGATCCGTGCAGGCGTTTTGAATAAAGGACCCTGACCGCAGAATGCTAACTATATCGCGCGCGCGCGCGCGCATGTGTGTGTGAGAGTGTGTGTATGTGCAAATCCCGAAAGTGGGAGAAATGTTACAAGTATGATTGCGTTCGTTGGCGAGTTCGTATTTGCCGCGGACCTACGCAAATGCATACGCAAACGTTCCGTAATTTCAGGTCAGTTATCGTTTTCACCAGTTCCAATTTAATTACAATAGGAGGTACCGTTACAAAACGGAATACCATCGTTAACATACGACGGTGGCTCGCGTGCACGCGCGGGTCACAAACACGTCGATCGTTTCGTATAACGAATTATGCACACACAGTTACGCGCATTCATGCGCGTAATGCAGCTCGTCGTCTTTTTCAAATTGAAATTTGTTTCAATAAACGACGACAATAATGCACTATATAAACGTTATTATACAATATTAATGCAATTGTGCGCCGGTATAGTATTCCCTTGTGTATTCTACTTGTGTCATTTTTAAATTAAAATCTGCTCTACTAAATATTAATAATGAGTGTAATAATATTAATAAAGAGTATAAATAATATTACGCGATATTAATGTATTATCGGTAATGTGCGTATCCACGTGCACGATAGCGGATAAAAACCAGATTAACTTGCTGGCTTTTCATCGTTACGCGGTGAACGTACGCCGTTTCACGCACCGCTACGTCGTGCCCGTATACTGACCGTAATAGTACAACGTTAAAATCAGTTATTATCGGCGAGTAAACGTGGCGGCAACATTTAACGCTTAATTATTTTACCGCGGTGCGCAACGTGGCGTGTCAATGCGAAAATGGCCGTCGTATATATGTGTATATATATGTATATATAATATACATATATATATATATATATATATACACATATATATTTCCCTGGGTTTTCGTTTGACATAAAAAAACTCGAAAGCATAACGTGAAAGCGCAATGGAAAAGTCAACGTCACAAATTTCGCATAAATAACTCCATCAACATCGACATTATGTGTTCAATGTGCTCGATACGCATTTCTTGTTTAGTCTGTAAAATGCCAGAGATAAATTCGACAAATATCATTTGACGAGGTATTATCGTCGGTCGTATTCCTCTAATTCTCGATTCTTTACACTTCAGATTGTCGGAGAAATTATCTTAATCCGTCCAATCTACGATCGGGTTGTGTGTAAGTGCTCGGTGATGCACACGCAACGCTTTTTCGTATGTACTCTAATTAGTATTACCTTTTTTTTTAATCTTTTATTTTTGGTTTAGTTTCACGGCAGAGCAGGCAAAGTCGCACGCATGCACGCGGGAAGCGATGTGTGTCACGCGGCAGATTCACGCTCCGACGGCGGCGCGGACGCGAAGTAATTGCAATTAAAATTTGTTTCGCGAAATTGTTTAGCCGCGCCCACGTCGCGCGCGGACGGCGAGAGCTTTTATCCCACGCTTGTTTCGCCTTTATCGCAATTCCCCGGGCGAATCGAAAGTTGCCATTAGGGCCTCCGATTTCCCTCATCCCCCTCCTCTTTTTTCTCTCTTGATTGTAATTAACGATTCGCGTCCAATAACAACGGCCGAATCACGCGCTGTCGTGATCGAATGGATTACCGTAAATCGAAACCTGTCGAGATGTTGCTTTCGATGCATCAAATATAAATGCAATTTATATTTTCTCTAGCATGGGTAACGCGTAACGTGATACTCTTGTATCTTTGGAAATTTGTTGTTGATTTATGAGACGTTAAATATAGCACAGTACAAATCAATCATTTTTTCATTTACAAATTATATCAAATATTAATTGCTTTTATATTACAATCTAAAATGGTTTCATTTAATATAAATGTTTGTTTACACTTTATAACACACCTTGTGTACTTTATAATTCAGAAAGAGTTGACTACAATTATAAAGCTATATGAGATCCAATTGAGACAATTGGATCTAAATTGCTTTATCGAAAGAGAAACTATAATATGATACAGATACATTTTACCGCATAAATATATTTTCTTTTCACGCGTGCAGCGCGGAATCGGTACGTGATATAGATATTTAAAACGCTAACTGTTGCATTAAACAGGAAGATCTGTTCTCTCTCTAGTCCGATTTGCAGGCAGCTTTCCGCGGTCTCTAAAAATCACGATCCGCGTATGCATTATGACTGATACTTAAATGTGTGCGACGTGTGTGAAGCAAATTCGGGTTTTCGTGGCGATTATCGGTAATATTTCCGGTACACCCGGCTGTTAATAATGCTTCTATTATTAATGAACGAACTCTCGCGCACGCGAGCGCGGTGTTAACGGTCTACCAGGCCCCGGGACAGGAGAGAGAGGGGGGGGGGCGAGGCAATATCGTCACGATGCCCGTAATGCACCGTACGGGACAGGTGACGTGTAATTGTAAACTCGATCAAAAAGGCCGCGGCTGCCAATGCGATCGGCCAATGTGCCGCATGTGCCCGCGTGTCATATATGTATATGGCGCCCGTACTGTACACTCACCCAGCCCGTCACGCGCAGGAATCATTCGGCGAGTTTTTGAAATGTTCGAAATCATTAAAAACGCTGTTGACAGAGACCCGCCTCTCTCGATTCCGGATTTATATCTCGACGCCCCGAGTTCGACGTCCGAAATATCTCGCGTAATAGCCGCCGGAAATACGAGCAACGCGATTTGCATTTTAACGTGTGTAGAAATAAGCTCGCGCCGCATGCAAATCCTGGGTTTTTGTTGCCAATTTATTAATACGCATGGATTTCAGATTCATTTCGGCCCGCCAGAGGTAGATTTCGTGATTTTTTTTTTTTAACGGGTATGCGCGCGTTTTCGCGGATTTGCGAATTCGGGAAGTAAAATGAGAACGCGACATTTGGTGCGCGTGTGAATGTGCAACGTTATCGCGGGAAGAATAAATGTTTTCTTACGTGTGAGACTTGCGAAGATAGAGAGAGCCATTTCTAGACAACATGACCGATAATCCTCGCGCTTTTACACGCCGGCATGGATTATACTCACATAGCTCACATGTTAACGATATCTCGAGGATATATCGGAACAGTTCTATGACCGACCGTTACGACGTCTATAAAACGCCACACTCACTTTCGTGCGAACAGAAACTTTCTCAGGGACGTAATACCGATGGCGCGGTAATTAATGAATCGCAATTAGCCCGCGAATAATATCGTTATACTTGCATGATGAATCAGGATACCACGGCACATATTTTATTACTATTTTATGTAACGATATGAAATTTTAATGGTCTCAATCTCTGTTAGAAATTAAAATATGAATCGTTATACATTATTAAATTTTCATTTACAGTCTTTAATTCCCGAAATGAAACGTTATGTGTGTCAAATATATATATGTATAATTCCTTCGTTAAAATATAATCGTTCGATTATTTTACATCGCGTTCTAATTAATTCGAATTGCTTCGCCGTATCACTTTTATATCGCGCGATATTTCTGGCCGTGTAACGCGACGAATTTGCGGAATGGGGAAGAATAACGTATTAAAATATCTTTTACCGTGCCGACGCGAGCTTGCGCGCGGGACGTCATAACCCGAAGCGTAAAGAACGATACGAGCGATGGCAGAACACGGCGAGCGACAAGATTTATAAGGCTCTCGTCGGGCCGCCATAAAGCTTGAGAATTCTATTTATTTCGCGTACGCGCCGGGGCCAAATGTGGGCCGGACGCGCGATGAGATAAATTTACGGTCCTTTTTAGGCATCAAATCTGGCGGGTCGACGAAGTTTGGCTTGCAGCCAGGCGCGCGGAGGCCTCGGCCACTGGCGAGAGCGAGATACACCAACACGCGAACGCAGCATTATGAGGATATTTAATTTGTGCTTCGCGCCGTTATATTTCACTCGGCGTTGATGGAATGGCTTGTTCTCTCACGATTCCCCGTTTCTGCGCGGGCTAGACGTGATTTACCGTGATCTCTATCAAGCCGGCTTCAAAATACGCGTTGATTCCTCGCCCCTTTCCCTTTTTTTTTTACATCCACCCCCTTTCTCTCCCCTCTTCTCTCACCTTCTGTCTATTACCCTCTTTTGGATCTCTCTGGACAATCCTATTTTCATCTCCACGTGTCTGCGTCCTGTGTTATATGCCGTGATTCATTTTTCATTCGGCAGCCGAGGGGATTAGCATCGTACGTCATCGCGAATGGAGGAAGATCAATTTACGTTCGTTTGTAATTTAGAATATTTTTTTTATATGTTTCAGGGAATTTACGCTTTGATAGATTACGGAGAAAAATGGCGTACTAAATTTTCGTCGCTGTATCCTGGTAGTTGGACAAAGGTAGACCTCGCTTTCGGACGGGCAGGCGTCCCGTAAAATTGCCGGGCTTTTCAGCAGGGTGGTAATTAACGTTTCCGGCAGGATGATGTTGAAAATCCGCGATGTTAAGAATTCCACTACGAATGAATGTTTAACGGCGAGCGGACGGTCGCGTTTACCTTCGCGATTATCCGTGATAATAATTAACGACGCGTATTTTAATAAATCGTTATTATTGTTATTGCGAATGCAGTCGCGATAATCAAGGGAAATCATTACGGAATGCAATCCGGTTATAATAATAAAAGCTCCTGTATATACAATAATGACAGGAATAATAAAATAGGACACGAAACACGCGGATTGCACACGTAAATGTCCATTATTTTCGTTCAAATTAACCCATATCCGAAGATGAACAAGTGATACTATCTTTTCGCAACTCGTGAAATTTGTTCGTACATCTTTTGATGTAAATACTTTAAATAATAATAAATAATTCAAAACATGAAAACATTTCTTTTGATTTACAGTTAAACTTTTCGATATGTTTCTGTAAAGTTCTTTATTTTAAAAAAATTTTAACATGTAATTAATTTATAATATATGTAGCTAAATGAACATATTTAAGTATTCGAGAGCTTGTAAATTACAATTGAATATTCCCAATGTACTTATATTTCGACTAAACGGTTAATTAGGCCTATTTTTAACAACACACGGTGTACATATTACATATATAGCCCAGCCGTTTACGGATGACTCGAAAATACGTAAAATGGGCGGTGTGGCTATTCGATTGCATTCAGAGAGAATGGCGTGTCGCGGATTTAAAGCGCGCCGTATTAAAATTTCACGCCACCAACGTGTCGGGGACGACTACTAATTTCGCGACGGTGTGCAGAGCGGCGGGCGGCGCGCGGGATTCATTAGTACCAGTAATTTCATTCCGTACTGTAATCCGCGCCTGATTCACCCCGCGCATACGTACGTATGCGCTATGCGCGCGCCATTATTCTGTTACATAGCTTTGTAAAGATCTCTGCGTCATTCCCACGGGCGAGCGCGGGGAGAGAGATATATATACGTGTATGTGTGTGCGTGGCGATGTATGCACGCGCAGCGGGGTCGCCCCTCCCTAAACAAGCGCCTCTTATTTTCTGCTCTTGTGCAAGATTATTATTCCGCGGCGATGCAGTGCACTGCAGGTACACGTACGCGTACATACGTACGTTTAAATAGCCATTGTTGTGTACCGTCGAAAGGTCGATCGATCGAGAGACATGCGCTTTCATCTTGTAATAATGATGGACCGCGGGCGCCTCTTTATGCGCTATCCTTCATTACGACACGATCGGCTGCTCTTTCCCGACTGTATTTTATCCTCTCGTTAAAACGCACCTCCCTTTCCACACCACGCGCGGAGATGTCCTGGCTGATTTCGTAAAATAATCGATACGTTCCATGTGAAGATTAATGTTTTGCAGATCACCATTATCTTGTTCTATGCTAGACACTTTGATCTTTGATCAATTCGAGAATGTAGCTCTTGCAATTTCCATTCGCAAAATTAGCCTATAATAATGATGTTATGACTGGTACGTTTTTATCCGGCTCATCCATGCGTGCTCTTTTATAGCCAAGCCTACGGCAATGTTTGCCGTCTTCTAAATAAACGTGAGAACGACTATGAATAAGGAACGTCGTCGCTTTTGAACGGCGACCGTGAAAGTATTTCAGCGCAAAAGGAAGCGAGAGCATCGAGGCCGAGAGTGATTCAATAAGGTTAGCGTGTATGCATGAGTTACAGGGAACAGGCAGAACGTGAAAGTCTTGAAAGTTTTGCACGTAACGGTTGTTCGCGGTTGTTTCGCCCGTCAATTAGGTACGCTTCATCGATCGCGTTAATAAACCTGTTGTCGGGCGTCTCTTATGTTTAGACGGGCTAATGTTCCGCAGGGAAACCATCAACAATTCATACAACTGCATGATACCAATCGATCGATCAATAGCCATTCATATTTTATAATAAAGTAGTTTTACATTTTTCTACATTATCAATTGATACGGGAAGCGAATTAAATAGAGATTAATATCAGTTTTGCTTGTTTCACTATACAGATATTTTTGTAAATAACGGTATACATGAAAAAGGTATAACATGTAGTACATTAATATAAAAATAAGAATATTTGTTTCATGTTTTACACACAGATATACATATAAAATAAAATTTATACAAGAACGAATTAGCGGTAAAAATATTGGCTGATTTCTTTTGGTTGAACATAAGTTCATATATATGAGAAATATTTCTATTCCATTGTTATCTCTGTGAACCAAATGTTCCCCACCATTAAAAAAAAGTTCGACTTTATGCCATAAACAAGTGCTCATTTATTCCTTATTTATTGCTCTTATCCATACGCAAGAAATTTATATCAAAAGTAAGCTGACTTCACGTTACTCTGTACGTATTTTTCGGGAGTAAGGATGTAACGTGAAGTTAGCACCCCCACTTTTGATATTAATTTTCTGTGAATAGATAAAAAGCAATAAATTCGCGACTAGAGTAATATAAATTAACAATAAATGAGTACTTAATTACGATATATAATCAACTTTTTTTAATGATGGAGGTTTGCAGAGGTTTTATCTTTCGCATTCGTAAAAGAGGCGCTCTAGCGTTTCTTCCTTTTGCAAACGCCACAGTGAAAGCGACAAACTTCGATTTCTGCACCAACGTCGAGCAGCGTAACAGTGAAAGGCTTAACAGTTCACGAAAGGTACAACCCGACGGTGTTTTCGAGGCTTTTGCGTAATGATATGCACGAAAAGAACAATTTTGCTGAATCCAGATCTGAAAATAATTTTTGTTCAATAGTCAAAATCATTTTCTAGCAATATTTATCAATTTTGACATTCCAACAAATTATTTTGATGATTCAATAAAAATTATTTTCAGATCTGTTTTTAGTAAAATTTTTAGGTCTTTCAACAAAATCGTTCTTTTCGTGTGGGCAATCTATGAAAGCAACGTGGCCACGCGTGAAAAAGTAGGACGACGAACGGATCGAAATATCGATCACCGCGCGCGAAAAGCGATAATGACTGGCGATGGATTCGAAAGCGGAAGATGTCTGGCACAACCTTTTCAAACGACTCTCATTTTCTCCGTCCTGATCCGTGATTACTCCCGCATCATTTGTTCTTGTTCTCCACAAAAGCAGCTTTGCCTTTAATCCCCGTTGTAACATAAAGCCCTGTTCGAGACCTCTCGTTCTGTATCTTAATATTAATGTTGCACTACATTATACATCTTTTTTTTAAATATCTTACCATTATTATTATTAAAAATATCTGCATAGTGAAATGAGCATAACTAATATTAATTCTCATTTTTAATTTTCTTTTTGTGTACTAATTTATGTGAAAATAAAATTTTTATTTAATTTATAAATAAGAATACAATTTATTAATAAATAATTGTAACATCTAATTCTTAGAATTAATTAGTTCTCAGTTTATAAAATAACAAAGTCTGTACTGATCGATACATCGTGTACGTTTAAAAAAAGATATTCTCGGTCTTTTCGATAAATACAAAAAAATACAACTAAATTCGAGAGTGCCTTCTGCGGTTTAATATAATTTATAAATTATAATTATTGTTTAAAAAAATTACGTTTGTCATTTCGCATATCTTAATTTACGGTTTTTGAATTTGAAAGCGACTGTTAGTTCGCGTGTAGTAACCGAAGCGTCAATAATCGAGCAGCGGTAAGAAAAGGGTCGGAAGGAAGCGTGGCGGAGACAACGTGTCGATTGCAAAAGGGAGACGCGACGTGCAGGAAAAGCGAAAAAGTAGAGAGACCGTCCGCGTAAAAGTTTTACGAGCCGTCGCGGCACCGCCTCGTTGCATCTGTTCGCGCTTTATTCGACTGTATACGCTATTTCAGACTCGTCTGCGCCGCGAAGCTTACGTCCCGCGTGTAAATTAACTCCCAAATCGTAAAAAGAGCCGTGCAACAATGACTTCGCCCGCTCTCCTTCCAGAGGAACAGGGTGCCCTCCTCCCTTATCCGGCTCCCTGTTTCTTTTAATGACGCCACTCTCCTCCGGAAGTATGATCTCCTGGGACCGATGTTTATGGGCCGGCAGCCTTTTTCGGACGTATACGACAGATAAAACGTCTCGCCTAACGAATTCGCTGAGATCGCCGTGACGGCGAATTGCGTAGTTCAGTGCTTTTTTATTATTGATGAACAGCCGTCGAGAGAGAGAGAGAGAGAGAGAGAGAGAACCAAAATTGTGAAAACTTTTAATCCTAGCTTCTCTAAATTTTTTCTTTTTTTACATTAATTACAAGGATGACATGAGTTGCGTTTTTAGTATTCGTGGCAGGAAACGGTTTTAATACGTAAATGTACGCGGTTTTAAAGTTACATTATATTTCGAAATTTAAGAATCGTTTTTTATTCAGGAATACTTTTAAAAATTTACGAAGGCGTGCGTCTTTTCTTCTCGCATACTCGAAAAAAAATCCCTGAAGAATAGATTGTTTTACCTGTAAATAGGAATGCGCGGATTGTTCCGCATTTTTTCCCTGTGCCAGTACCCTCGCGAGTTTCGTGCAAATGCCAAACGAATCGGCTACCGGGTATAAATTTCAGTTGCCTTCACGGGCTTCACGTGTGTTTTGTCTGTGGCTACGCAGCGCGAGGGGAGGACGCGCGGTAGAGCGATTGTTATTAATTCTGTCTCCTGGGTACCACTAATATTCATTTGGCCGGTGGATAGGGACGTACCAAGAGCCGCCGATACCACTCGAGTCCCCGGAAAACGGAGTATCTACAGCGGGCGAATAACTCAATATCGACGTCGGTTGATACCGTAGGGACGAGACCCGCGACCACTTCCGTGCGTATTTCCTCTATTTTTTCCCCTGTCTCGGTCATTCTCACTTTTCGCGGATGTAGCGTCGAATATAGCACAGATTTAAATTCAGCCCATTGACTCTCGACTTTCTCGCGCGGCGACTATTACTGATTGAACTCGAAAAACCCATGGTCACATTTATCGAATTTCCGAGAACGCACGAACGACGGCTCCCGTCCCGTATATCTTTGTATTCGAGATTTGATAAACAGTATCTATATATATTATTTAATTCTCATTCAAGTACACGCTCCTCGTACATACACATATTTGTCACGTTATTTAAATTTCGAAATTTGCAATTTTTATATCAAATTCGGAAAATTTGTTTGGACGTACGTTGGCTCAATTGTATTCGTTATCTTGATTAGGACGATTGTCTCTTCGTTCGTAATTGACAATCGATATTTCCGGCATGTACGCCGCCCAAGTTTAATTTCCTGCCGAGGATATAGTTTGTCTTCACGCCGCGAACATTCGGAACGCGACTCATGTCGTCTTTGTAACTAACAAGGGGAAGCGCGAGTATCTCCTCCGCGAGAGTGGCAAACGCGAAATTGTTCCCGCCGCGAAATCTCTCGTAATATGTTATCGGTCTCCGGAATACAAGTTCCGTCAGGATGTACTCTCGGTAAATAATTCCGCGCATCGGAAATTTCTATCGTACCATCCGTCGCGCCGTAGCCGTATTTTTATCTTCGCATATTCTGTACCGTGCTCTCGAGAGATAATCTCTCTTGAATACGTACCTCGGAGCAAGCACAACGATTTAAAATGACGGTAGGAAGGAAGGGGGAGAGAGAG